TTCCGCGACAATGGGACGTCATTCTGACGTCACTTCACGAGGCAACAGGCTAAACTTTTCAGCAGTCGCTCTCACGCCGCAAAAAATGCGCGCCAATTGTTTTTAACTGTAATATATTGCTTGTGGCAACATTTAGTAGACAGATAATTTCGTTAATAGATATATATGTTTAAAAAAAAATAAAACTAAGAGATGGTAGACCTATAAGTGGTTTCATAAACATCATTTACAAAAAGTGTTGTAATGTCCAAAGCACAACGTTATCACAACGTTAATTTGCAACGTTGTTGTTACGTTGTGGAATAACGTTACAATATAACGTAATACTAACGTTGTCATAGAGATACGCAATTACGTTCTGGAAATTTTAGTATTAAGAGATGAAAATTCAAATGCCGAATATACATAAAGGTAATGCATTATACTGCCTTGGTATTCTGACAAATTCATGTTGATTTTTATAAAGCAGTTCTATTCCTTTATGACTATCGAGAAGCAAACTCTATAACGTTACACCGACGTTTCAGAAACGTAGTTACAAAACGTTGTGCGATGTCCGACGCACAACGTTTTCACAACGTGAATGTGCAACGTTGTTATAACGTTGTGAAATAACGTTGCACGTTGACGTTATAATAACGTTGTGACAACGTTATATCACGACGTTACCAATCCACAACCTTTCCACAACGTTGTGACAACGTCGTGTGTTAGGTGGGTAGTAACATAATAGAGCCGTGAAGATTCCGGGTAGAACAGGTCTTCAGCAACCCATGCTTGCCGTAAAAAAAGGCGACTAAAGGGATCGGGTGGTCAGGCTCGCCGACTTGGTTGATGCATGTCATCGATCCCAATTGCGTGGATCGATGTTCATGATGTCAATCACTGGATTGTCTGGTCCATACTCGATTATTTAAAGACCGCCGTCATATAGCTGGAATATTGCTGAGTGCGGCGTTAAACAACAAACAAACGAAAGTAACCAAATATGCATCAATAAAGATCTTCCAGCATACTTTAAATGTTGATGCGTGAGCCCACCAGACCCTGGTGTTTATTGTGCTTGATAATACCTCTGTTGAAGTGAATAGTTTCTTCAATGGATAATTAACAGCTACTTCGTTATCAGAATTAGATGTTCCTTGACTGAGGAATTACTTCACCAGCAAAGGAGCGGTCAAAATTAATTTACAGGGGATTGACATGTTTCCTAAGTACTTACCTCAGATACTTTCAGTGCTACTAATGTGATCACATTGATAAACATTGTTTCGTTTTGCAGTTATAAACAAATCAACGTTTTGTGACTGTTATCCTTCGATAGATGCACACAAAAGAATATAAAAAAAATCCTTAAATAACTTCAGATTGTTATTTTTCAATAGGTTTTGAGATACGTATGGGGGCTTCTGTGTGGGAATCAAGTGAGTGAGTGAGTGAGTGAGTGAGTTGGGTTTAACGCCGCTTTGAACAGTATTTCAGACGTTTACCACTTTTGTGAAACCCACGAGCACGGGTGTGGGGCTGACAAACCTCGAAAAATAATCGGGGCGAACCGGGATTCGAACCCACAATCATGGGTTTCAGGCGTGCCCAAGGGACGCCCCCCTTCACAGCGAATTGTGGCGGTTCAGCTCATGAGCTGACTGAGAGATAATTGAGGCTTAGCCCTGGCCTGTTTGTCCTGCGCCCATCGTCCGCCATGCGTCGTAAACACCATCTCCTCATGCAGACACCACTTGACCAATGATAATACCCCTGTTGCTTACGAGGTTCGAATAAGATTCCAATATAGCCGGCATGTTGAGGAACCTATTAATGATCATTACTCGACCATTTCTTTGAAAAAAGTAATAAAATTAGATGCATTTTTTCTCCGAGGTTTTAAGTTATGAGCTTGATTTGACCTTTTGTACTTCGACCATACTGAAAGCTGAAACTTCTTTGACCGTGGTCTTAAATTCCCTCAAAATGTATATTTAGCTTTGCAAACTTTTCTCCTCTGTAGTTGGGGGCGGTCGGGTAGCCTAGCCTCGTGTCCCCCGCCGTGATATTGCTGGAAATTGCTAAAAACGGCGTAAAACCATACTCACTCACTCCTCTGTAGTTGCCGGACTGAGGGAACTGAGCTTGCGTGCGTCTCCTATGACGACACCTTTTGTTAAAATCACACGAGTTACGTGCTAGTTTATCCTCAGTATTTAAATATTTGACTATCAACTCTGACGGCAACTTATGCCACGTGGCTTAGTCGCCATTTTAAAACCATTGACACCATTCCCAGGTGAGCTACAGTGTCGTTGCAAACACCTGGTGAAGTCAGCTACATATATCCTCGTTTCCTGGACTGTCACGGTTCTGCTAGTCGGGATTTAACAATAATTTGATAAATCTTTTTCTCAAGGAGGCTTTTCAAAATTTATGATAATATGTAGCCAATCCACCGGTGTTCGTTCCAAACCGCTACCTGACGGATGTATGGTGACTGAGTGAGTATGGTTTTACGCCGCTTTTAGCAATATTCCAGCAATATCACGGCGGGGGACACCAGAAATGGGCTTCACACAATGTACCCATGTCGGGAATCGAACCCGGGTCTTCGGCGTGACAAGCGAACGCTTTAACCACTAGGCTACCCGACCGCCCCGACTGACGGATGTATGACCCGTCAAACATCAGTCACTGGGTTCAAACCCAACTCGGGGACCGCATTGTATGTTTTATTCCGTCAGTATTCTCTACTGATTCGAATACAAGTGATTTATCAATGAATGAATGTTTTTAAGTCAAAGTTTTCATGAATATTCTGGAAATTTAGTATATGCGACGATCAAACGTGCTTTGTTTACGGGATAAAGGAATTGACACGTGTACAAATACTTTATCTGATATATTCAACTGATAAAACAGTTCTTTGTATAATATCACTTTCTCCAACTATGTATATACGTACGGACACAAGGAGCGTCACAGAAGTGATATTGAAGAGATGAAACGTCCACTGCTTGCTGTAGTACAGGTAGTATTGATTAAAGCGTACGTAAAATATAGCCGCCTCGTCTCGAGATTTGTACACGTTTCTAAATGAGTTTATTCCCAAGTTTCAAAAGAAAGGTGTGATGTTTTCAGATGTTTTGATTGGTGATGACTTTTCCTCGGGAAACATTAAGTAATACATGCATCACACACTGGCATACAACTTGTGGGTGAAATGAAATGGGGTTTAATGTTGAGTTCAAGATTATTGCGCTTATATTATAGGGATGTGCATGTACACAGTATAGACTCGGAGTGGACCAGACCTTGTTTAAAACCCTTAATGCCGGACGCCAAGTTGGGTAACAACAAGCACCATCTTATGGGGAGAACGAGTTACATTGCCATGTTAATACTTGACCAACACAGTCAGACATCTTAATACTGGACAAACACATTCAGACATCTTAATACTTGACAAACACACTCACACATCTTAATACTTGACAAACACACTCACACATCTTAATACTTGACAAACAGTCAGACATCTTAATACTTGACAAACACAGTCAGACATCTTAATACTGGACAACACACTCACACATCATAATACTTGACAAACACAGTCAGATACCTTAATACTTGACTAACAGTCAGACATCATAATACTGGTGAAACATACACATCTTAATACTGGTGAAACATACTCAAACATCTTAATACTTGACAAACACAGTCAGAAATCTTAATACTGGACAAACACAGTCAGAAATCTTAATACTTGACAAACACACTCACACATCTTTATTCTTGTCAAACACACTCACACATCTTAATACTTGACAAACACACTCACACATCTTAATACTTGACAAACAGTCAGACATCTTAATACTTGACAAACACAGTCAGACATCTTAATACTTGACAAACACACTCACACATCTTTATTCTTGTCAAACACAGTCAGACATCTTAATACTTGACAAACACAGTCAGACATCTTAATACTTGACAAACACACTCACACATCTTAATACTTGACAAACACACTCACACATCTTAATACTTGACTAAAAGTCAGACATCTTAATACTGGTGAAACATACACATCTTAATACTGGTGAAACATACTCACCTTTCTTAATACTTGACAAACATACTCACACATCTTAGTACTGGACAAACACACTCACATATCTTAATACTGGAGAAAGAAACTCACAACCATGAGAGTGAATGTTGTTTAACATTCCAGCTGTTTCTAGAACTTTGCAGATCAGTGACTGAAAGCAAACCTGACAATCCAGGGCACAATGAAGCACAGCTGTCTCAGCCTCTCAGATATAGTCCCTAGTTACACAAGCCACCAATGGCGTGCTGGAAACCTATTCCAATACGGGTTCCCACTGGGAACCTACAGGGAACATCTAAAAAAGTGTTGAAAGTGAGAACACCTAGACTAAAACAAAAAGCTTGTATAAAATCAACCAATCCATACTTTATTTCATTTATACACACATATAAGCATCAGTATACAATCGATGATGCATGTAAAAATGAGGTGATGTTATCTATTTCTCCAATATTTCTCCAAAGGATTATGCATGGGTAAACCTGAATTCACCCAGCAAACAGAAGTATGCAAAGGATTACTTAACTACACTAGGATAGAAAAGTGACATGGTTGAGTGCTCTATGACATCAAGACCTGTATAATACCTACATCGTAATGTTGCTATTTAAAAAATACTGGTGGTATGCATATCTACATCTATGTATATACTTAGTGTTAATTATTTTCTTTAATATGAACAGGCTGATGAAGATTGCACAAACCAAAATGATATATACAGAGCTCCAGATAAGCTTTTGGTGTTGTTGGTATTTTATCCATGCATCTTAAAATCATTGGGTATCAGTAATTCTATCTGGGTATTCAAATTTCTGTTACCCACTAGTTTTTACACATGTGGGTATTTAAGTTAAATATTTAAAAACACTATTCATCTAGTCCCTGCAAACTGGTGTCGTGTGGGTTCTAGAGCTTTATAGGTCTCAAAAATACCACGATAATTCCACAAGAAAGTGTGATGGCAAATGATCATGATGTAACTGTCATCGTGGAGTTTGGCAAAGTTGACGGAAAGCCTGTTTATAATTCAAAATAAGTTGCTGATTTACTAATCGAATACGCAGGGTTACTTCACAATATTTTGATGATATGCACAAGTTTTATTTTTGTAGCGTATCTGTAATGTTCGTTGCGTATTTGATACGCTTGGATTTTATTTTACTGCGTATTTCTGCATTTCTGATGCGTATATCTTTACGCAGATACGCAGCTTATCTGGAGCTCTGTATATATGATACATAATATAATAACAGTCTTGGTTCTCGGGCACCGCCCGCATCATCATAAAGTTTGCCGCATGTTTTGTTTTTATTTCCATTTTTAAAAACCCCAAAGAAATCCCAAAAGTCCAACTGTAGTCAAATACTGTATTCCAGTATTTTTATGTAGGGAGGCCCTTTCTCAGGTTGATTGAAAAGAATTGTTTTTTTGGTTACATACAAGTTTATACAACCAAAAAAAGACACAGCCCACCCGCACTATATTTTCAAAAAACATTGCCCAAGAACCAATTCTCTTATTTTCTTAAGCCTAACATGGCTGAACTTTGCAAGGGGAAATAACTCTTGCCCTTGTTAAAAAGCATAAATATTCAGATCTCTGCTCAGAACATTAGCTGTCTTATATCTCGACATCATCCATGGAAGCAAGAGTCCATGAATGTTTTCTACAAATGGCTATGTAGATCTGTAGTAAACTTGTTCAGTAGGTTGAGTAGAACTTCCCTCTTGTCCTGTGTCCCGATGAAGCAAGTGAGAGCCTCAAGCAGTGCCGATCCTACCAAACGTTTGACTTGGCTGACCAGCTGCCATTTTTTCTCATCTGTGAGCCCTGCCAGTGCCCTGGTCATTGGTTGGTACTCATCACTCATACAGTAGCCCATCACAGACCCTGACAGAAAAAACTCATGTAAAACATGATCAGAAATTGTTGTTTTGATACAGATTTGCATAGCCAGTGTAATTGCAGAGTTTAGTTTGTCATTAATAGTATTTAATTTATGTATTTGAATATTAAAACAGAAACAAAGGAAATGAAGGTAATGTGCTTTGTTTTGTTTGTTTGTTGTTTATAACGCCTCAATATTCCAGCTGTATGACGGCGGTCTGTAAATAATCAAACCTGGACCAGACAATTCAGTGATTGACATCATGAGAATTGATCCAAGCAATAGGGATACGATGACATGCATCAACCAAGCTATGAACCTGACCACCTGATCCCGTTAGTCACTTCTTACACCTCTTACGACAAGCGCAGTCGCCATGGGTTACTGAAGACCTATTCTTCCCCAGATCTTCACGGGTCACTTAAGCATATACATAAAGAATCATTCAGACATAAGCTTAACACCTGCAATCTAAACATTTATTTTCAAAGATGTCAGGGATAACATGAAAAGTGTGACATTGACAGGTCTATAGCCTGAACATGTTGGATAATGAATTGTAGATTCATTCAAACAACACATCTTTGCTCCTTATAACTTTTTTGGAATGGACATTTACACAAAAAATAATCTTCTATTTGTTTAATTTTTGACAGAAGTACTTTTAGTAACAAAATTGTACTTTGTACATTGAAATATTTTCTCCCAAATTACTCTTGTCCTGCATGACTATCACATGCTTGAATTCCTAGTCTGTTGCACTTAATTATTTAACAAACCTGCAAGTCCTCCAACTATGGCACCGACCGGTCCTTTGGCCGCACCCCCAGCAACGGTACCCACAGCTCCTAACACCACCTGATTGAATATACCTGAACAACAAACACGAAGGTAAGTCATCATGCATTAATATACCGGAACGACAAACACAAAGGTAAGTCATCTTGTATGAATATACCTGAACAACAAACACGAAGGTACATCAACTTATTGATTACACCTGCACAACAAACACAAAGGTAAGTCATCTTGCATGAATATACCTGAACAACAAACACGAAGTTAGTTCAAATTATTGATTACACCTGCACAAAAACAGGTAGATAGGTCATCTTGCATGAATATACCTGCACAAAAACAGGTAGATAGGTCATCTTGCATGTGTAACAGGACAGGCTTTGGGCACTTTAGGACACCATGACTTTGCGTTGTGATTCTTTTATTCAGAAGATATTAATGCCGAAAATACTAAAGAAGGTGTCTATGGTCCCTCTGTCTGTCCTTTACGACCTCAGTTCGTTGGATGTAGGGAGGTGATTCACAACAAAATATAATCAAGTTTCAACAGTTTATTACAGAAAAATAAACAAAACGAAAAAAAAACCCAACTGTAACAAAATATAAATACGAACTCAACAACAATTACAAATCAATCAATCCTATTCCTAACTAAAATTTACATTATTAAACAAAAAATCCTACTTACTTATACCCTCAAAATAAAACTCAAAAGCAGCATAAAGCAAACAAACAAACCCCTCACTAACCCACTTTAATCCCTACAGCATCCTTAACACAGTCTATGAAAACAAACCACCCTTCCAAACCTCCGAACACAATCGGTCAATGTAGCTACATCACATAGCTTACATTATTTCCTCATTAAATCCACCCGTCCAACCCAGCTTTATAACAATTTACCCATGAATTCTAAAGTTGCCACATAATTTAGATCTTTATTGCCTAAAATCACTAGGGATTGGGGAATTGTTCGACCTCCGAACACGGTAATTTGATGTGGTCTCCCTCACCTGTAATGATCTTCCCGATCATGCAAGACAATGAGAGCATTCGCGCCAATCTCTTATATACTCGCAAGGACACGTAACCTCTGGGTCAACACGTCTAAATGGTGCAGCCACTGGCTAATCCAGTCTGTCACCAACCAATCGGAGCGCTCTTACCATACGACCCACGACTGTAAACACTAAATCGGCATGCAGCCGACAAACGCACGTGCCCGCACGTGGGGCAAGATCTGAAACGTGCTGTCCCAAGCGAACTACATATCGGTAAGGAGCTATTAACCACGTAAATGCTACCATCTATCCTACATAATCAGAGGAAATTTCAATATTTCTACATTCCTCCCCCCTAAGAACAAAGTAACTCTTACTTTGTCTAAAATTTCCGATCATTAAAACAAATGTTCCAAAATATTCCCCTTTTTAATAGGTTGACTGACTAACTGAATAAACAAAATCATATGGTGTCATTACAACAAATCAACGAATACAAATCAAAACACTGAGGGTTACTCAGACTCGGCATGAATGTACAAATATTTCAAGTCGCTGAGGTGTTGTTCCTCCCGACTGCACCATCGGGACGGCCAACACCGTCTTTCTTCCTGGGCTTGAAGCTGTGCCTCTTCATGGATCTGGGTGTCCTGTCTAGGGGGCCTAGGGGGCAATACGTCTTCGGGGTCCCTATTCTCGTGGTTGGGCCTCTCCTCTGAGATAATGCTGGCCACAGGGCGATGAATCTTCACATGAGCCTTGGCATGGCTTCTTTTCTTGTACAGCTTCCCGCATTGGCCGCACCAGGATAGAGTTACATGTTTATTATGAAAACGGGCCCAGTGGTCCAGGAAGCGGCCAAAGCGGGAATAGTGTGAGTTGTCACATCCCGTGACAGGGCACTTCATCCCCCCTGTTGCCCAGTCTTGCCTCAATGTCTTCAGTTCGAAGTCCCTTCTTTCCATTGCGTCCACTTCTATTTCTATCTCCATTGCTTTAACAAAAAATTAAAATGCCTATGGTGCCACCCTCAAGGTCTGTGCAATTAAAAACATAATCAGGTTTCCTAGGGAGAATAACGGTCTCGAGGTTTCACAATTCTTCCCCTTCTAGTCCTAACAGGTGTTGCCGAAGCATGTGGACTAGATCCCAACTTATCTATTGAATCACCTAAAGAATTCACCCCATGTACATTATTTAATTCACTAACAGGTTTTGTTTCAGATTCCTTTGCAACACTGGCAGACTCATCAACTTCCAGGGGTTTTAAGTGATCAACATGAACAATGATGCAGGTTGTTTTATTATCTCTCTCTATTTTTTAGGCGAGGGGAGATACTTTCTCCCGAACAAAATAAGCTCAAGCTCCAGTCCAACCCAAGCCAAGCTTCCGCCCAGCTGTTGGGGGATACCACCGCCAGACTTGCGAGCCTACTTCAAATTCCCTAAGTTAGAGATTAATGTCATAGTTTTGTTTCTGGCTTTTAGCTGCGTTTCCTAAATGCTCATTTGCAAATTCAAAATTTTCCTGCATGACTCAACCATTCTACATAGGCAACTGGGCATAAATCTGGAGTGACATTTGGCGGACTTCCCACCATGACATCCAAAGGAAGTTGAATTTCCCGCCCTAACATAAGTAGATTTGGAGAGCAGTGAGTACTTGAATGAACACTAGCTCGGTAGGCCATTAGGAGGTATGGTAAGTGGTCATCCCAATCTAATGGTTCTTGGTGCGTATAAACAGAAAGCATTTGCCGAAGAGTCCTATTAAAGCGTTCGACAAGACCATCTGACTGAGGATGATATGGCGTAGTACAGGTTTTAGTTATACTCAACAGTCTACAAACCTCAGTAAACAAGGTAGATTCAAACTCACGACCTTGATCCGTGTGGAGTTGTCGGGGACAACCAAATCTACAAAATACCTCAGTCACTAACTTGTCAGCAACGGTAATAGCTTTGTGATTTGGAACAGCAAAAGCCTCTTTCCATTTAGTGTAGAAATCACCCAAGACTATGATGTATTCATTTCCATTCCTAGTTATCGGAAAAGGACCCAAAATATCCACTGCCATACACTCCATGGGAGCACGAATTTTAAATTGTTTCAATGAGGACTTTCCCTTTCCTGGACCTGGTTTGCAACGTGCACAATACTGGCATAATTTACACCACTGACGAACTGAATCGGACATGCCTGGCCAAAAGAATCTACGTTTGATTGACTGCTGAGATTTATCTCTGCCAAAATGTCCTGCTGTATGTTTAGTATGTAAATGACTGAAAACTTCTTCCCTGATAGCTTCTGGTGCAATAAGTTGCAAAAGCTCTCCACCTTCATGCAAAGAAGTTTTCCAATACAATAATTGATTTTGAAGTGTGAGTGAATCCCACTGACCCAAAAGACACTTGGTGTCAGAGTTCAGATCACCTATGTCAGTTTTTAATGGTTTGTCAGCTGATGCCTTTAATCTATTCACAACTGGACCTATACTAGGATCGTCTTGCTGCATTTTGAGTAACTCGTCTTTAGTCAACACGTTTAGCCAATTAGATGTGTTTTCAAAATTGCCTATATTCCTACTTGTAGGTATTGCAATAGGATTGATCGTCTGGGTTTCCCGATCATGCCTCCCAACTTTTACCTCCCAATTCAAAACAGACTGATCAGATCCGGCTGAATCAGATAATACAGCAGAGGATTCCTCTCTGCAGTTGTGTTCTTACATTTTCGAGTTGGTTTCCTTGACAACGCATCTGTATTTTTATGCTTTGTACCAGGCCTATACTGAATGTCCATATTGTAAGTCTCAATGACACTTAACAAACGTGCTAGCATTCCCTCCGGATCTTTGAAATTTTTAAGCCAGATGAGTGGTGCATGATCAGTTCTAAGCAAGAACCTACGTCCGTATAGGAAATGTCTAAATTGCTTTAAGAAAGTGACAACGGCCAGAAGTTCACGCTTAGTTGTACAATAGTTTTGTTGAGCTTGATTCAGAGTTTTACTAGCATATGCAAGTACCCTTTCTTGTCCATCAATTTGAACCTGTGACAACACAGCTCCAATGCCATAAGCACTGGCATCGGTATCTAACATGAACTGACCTTCATCTTGGGGGAGAGCTAGTATGGGAGCAGTAAACAAGTTTTGTTTTAGCTTTTGAAAAGTGTGTTCACAATCCTCATCCCACTTAAAATGAACATGTTCCGGATCAACCTTGTGAGTGGCGCAGCAATGTTTGCAAAGTCTTGGACGAAATGACGATAGTATCCAACTAACCCTAAGAAACTACGAACCTCAGACCTATTTACAGGTCTTGGCCATGATTCAATGGCTTTTGTTTTCTCAGTGTTACATTGGATACCATCTTTGGATACAACATGCCCCAAGAAAGGTACTTCTTTTTGAAAAAGCACACATTTTTGTGGTTTAAATTTCAATTTGGGTAATTTCAATTGTGTAAACACCAACCTAAGATTTTCTAATGCTCTGGCAAAATCCGACCCAAAGACAATAATGTCATCCAAATAGCACAAACAGCTTTTCCACTTGAGTGTACCGAGTACTCTGTCCATCAGTCTTTGTAGACTGGGGCATTTGTAAGTCCAAATGGCATCACGTTAAAGTGAAAAAGCCCAAAATGAGTGGTGAAAGCTGTTTTCGATTTGTCCTTTTTATCCATTTCTACCTGCCAGTATCCACTAGCAAGGTCCAAAGTACTGAACCATTGAGCCCCACTAAGATTCTCAAGTGTATCATCAATCCAATGCACCCATCTATGTCAGCGAAGACATCATGGAACTCACCAACTAACTTTGCCACAAACTGTTTTTGTTCCGTTGAGAGATCAGCTGAACTAGCCTCAACTAAGGTTTGCAAGTGCTCAGGAAGATTGTTTTCAGTATAGGTTCCCTTACTAACAGATAAGTCTTCCACTATCTGATCTACAGCATTTACTGTGCCCATAACTGATAATGGTTCTAAGTTCACCCCTTTTCCACTAAAATTCAGTACCGATATCACCAACTGCTCTCTGTCTGACCGAACCAAACTCCTAGCGACAAAAAGACCCTTATTCCGCCAGTACTTATTAGGTTCAATTACACCGACATGTTCTAACTGATTTGTAACAGCTTTACAAAATATCATTTTCTCGGAATGGGCTGGGATTTTGGTTCTTTCTGTCACTCTAATTCGCGAACAGTTGTAAGTCTTTAGTTTGTGCAGTTTAATCTTGCCTTTGCAGGTTTTCAATTCCTGCTTAACAATTTTGATTTTCCCCCTATATTTCTCCAAAAAGTCCATGCCCAGGATTCCAGATAACTTGTCAAGGTCAGCAACCACAAAACTCTGTTCAAAACTTGAACGTCCTGAGCTAAACTGAACCGTAAACTGCCCCTTGACATCTATATCCTTTCCATTAGCAGTAGTGAGGATGATGTTCGTTTGGAGGAGCAACGAGTCCCCGAACCTCAACCTTCTAAAGTCAGCATGAGAAAGTAGAGAAATAGGTGAACCTGTATCAATCAAAGTACTACAATAGCCTTTGTTCAAAAGGATATCCATATACAGGCAATTAGGATCGCCCTGCACATTCCGAAGACTAACAGGTACTTTTTCCTGATCAACTGAAGAAACTTCTGTTGTAATACTAATATTTGGTAGGAGTGGAACTTGCTCCACTTGGCTCACAACCTCTAACTCAGCACATGGCCTCTCTATCGACTGACAAGTGGCTGAAGCAAAGGCCTCTACATGTTTTCCGATCTACCGTCAGTCTGCCCTGTTAGTGCTAAGTTCTTAGTTAATTTCGCCAGCAGTTTTGGACAATAGTCCCTAAAGTGGTCTTTCTCCTGACAATAGAAACAACCTTTTTGTCTGAGCCTAGACTGACCATTCGGACCCTCGAGAGTTTTAAACTTCTCTTCTATCACTCTCAAAATGTCACCTAATCCTACCTCACTGTTCCCTTTTTCCCTATGTTCTTGATCAGGTGAGCTTTGAACAACACTAACTTTCCCTTCTACAGGTTTTCTAGCCCTATTGCCTTCCATTGCTTCGTATCCTAGTGCTGAAGAAATGGCCTCATCCAGAGTGTGTGGATGGCTAAAGGTCACTTTCTTTTTCATTTCAAATGAGGTTAGCCCAGTGACAAATTGGTCTATGATCTGCGTCTCTAGAGCCATGTATGGCACTTCCGGGTAAGCCAAAAGGGCTAGCCTACGCAATTGATAACCATAATCAGTGACTGATTCATCTTTTTCTTGCCTCCTGTTTCGAAACTCACAACGATAGGCAACACTCCTTTCCCTGGGATTAAAACCTTTGTTGAAGGACATTTCTGATGGCATTATAATCACCCAACTGCCCAAAGGTTAAACTGCTTAGAATCTTTTGAGCTGCCCCCCGTAAACTCAATGAGAGCTGTTGAGCCTTCTCCTGCTCATTCCAACCATTCCAGTTGGCGACCTGCTCAAACGTGAGGAGGCTCCTTCTCTGGGCCTACCATGTCTTCCCCTGAAATCAGGACAGAGTGTGCTATCCAACCTATCTACTTGTCGACTGCTCTGTGAAGAAGGATAAATGCTTCCTCCTACAATGGGGTTAACTCTAAATGGTAACCTATCACACTCACTAACATCTGCTGGTATATCAAATCTAACAGACCTTCTGCTGTGGTCTACTGCTTGAGTACTCACATCCCTAGGTATAATCACATTCCGGTCCAAAAATGAGGGATAACCTGAGTTTGATTGTGTGAACATGTTTGCACTGGATGCATTCATCCCTACATCTATCAATGTTTGCGACCCTGGTGTAAATCCACTCGGTCTAGGGGTAGAAGTAAATACTCCTGGTCTAGATGGAAGACCATGAAAACTATCTTCAGAGGGAGGTGACAAGAAACTGAAGTTGAACAAGTCAAAATCCTGTTCACTTGCATTCATTTTAACAAACTATCCTTATTTAAACTAATATCCCTAATTTAATCTCAATTAATTAATTTCAGTATAAATCACCAATACCACTACATCCTGGTCTCGGCACCAAAAATGTAACAGGACAGGCTTTGGGCACTTTAGGACACCATGACTTTGCGTTGTGATTCTTTTATTCAGAAGATATTAATGCCGAAAATACTAAAGAAGGTGTCTATGGTCCCTCTGTCTGTCCTTTACAACCTCAGTTCGTTGGATGTAGGGAGGTGATTCACAA